ATTCCTCGTGACTAGTTCGTTGGTCGGGGTAAATCTTCCCCTTTCTACCGTTACAGTACAGTCTTAGCGCGTTATCCGGAAGAAACCTGCTTTAAGTTTATACTAACGAATCAATGTTTTGATAAATATCTATTGCCATGCAGGATCTGCAACTAATTTGCATCCATACCAGGGGACATCGCCAGAGGCTCTTACGGGATATCAGGAAAATCCCGCGATTGGACATTGAAGAAGATATCCCTGTAAGTTTTCTTATGACTGGTACAAACGGGCTTAAATCGGGATTGAATTCACACTTATTCTTTTCTCATTTGTCTTAAAATTTCGATATTAATAAGCCCAAGGCTTATTTGTGTTCAAAAATATAAATCTTTCCAGGAAAGAATTGTTATTTTGATTTATAAAATAACCGACATACTACGCCCGTTCTGATTGGTCAGTAGAGTTGCAAAACCTATGTTCCATGGCAGCTCTACGCGGGAACGAGAGAACTCAGTACGCTAGCGATAAACATGCAGTTTCGGGATGTTTCACGTGGGATGTTGGGAGAACACTCGAAAAACTAAATCACTCGCCTAACGGCTCGTGATTTACAAACTTTTCCCGTGTTCTCCCAACATCCCGCGTGGTTCATTGCGCCTTTGAACCCATAAAAAGAGTGGTCTATCGCTTAACCTGTGGCATAGTTATCTCCCAGCTTCTGGTTATATGGAAATTCCTGCAATGATATCTAATCGTGTCGTTTTGGTACGCTTAGCTTCGGCGACATAACAGGCGATTTGGTTCAAGCCATAGCTAATATATATTTTTGTTATACGTAGTAGAGTAAAAATGTCCATGGCGAAAATAACCGACTTTGATTTGGAAACTAAGAGTAACAAAAACGCACGGTTAGGTATTTACCCCACCTAACTACTTCTAAATCGTCGGCTGCATCATGTCACTGACATCGGATTTCGCTTGATATCAAAAACATTTTGAATACAACTATATCCAAGTATTTATCGAATTGTTTAGTTTTAATCCTGGTACCAATATATTTTGTTTTAAAAGCAAAACGTTCAGGAATGGTTGGAAGAGCATGGTCTGGGCGATTATTGGCCCAAGTTTGAATCTAGTGGATATACAGAACCCAGCGACTTGGAAGATTTGAAAAAGATAAACAAAGACAACCTGAAAGAGACGTTTAACATTCATAAACCTGGCCACTTCAACAGGCTTTTATCTGCCATTCGTAAACTGCAATACCCCAATCAAGGTAAGTTTCACAAACCTGTCTCACGCTCACGGGAATTGATATGCTACTGACTCACAGATCAGACAGAACAGGAGAATTTTCCCGGCCACAATCTGAGCGCGAGTTTGTACCCTGCCACATGCTTGATGTCAGTATGTATGAAAAGAAAGTACCGGTACCTGCTTTTGGTAGCATCTAGTTATTTCATATGTCATAAGTTATTCTTGAATTTTTATATCATTTTGGATATGAATTTCAAAATTTCACTTGCAATATCTTAACTATAAGGAAAATAAGTATCGGCGGACTGGAGTCAAACAAGAATTTGGCGCGTATCACCAACTTTCCACAAGAAGAGAATTCTTGTCTAACCTGGAGAAAAATAGTTCAGATAAGATGAAACTGAGCGAGAGTTTATTGATAAGAGACCTTCTTAATAAAGTAACCGGGAATCAAACGAGACCAAGGACCTGAACTCAGTTCAACTCGATCCATGTTTCCATGTTCACTGTTTTTGGTGACGCTTCAAGAAAATTCCCCCAACTACAAGCTGGCTTGCCCAGTTGGTTATGCCCAACAATTAATATTTATCCATTGATTGCCAGAGTCTTAGAGAAAAAACAAAACATGACGTCCTCTTCTTAACGTGTGATTGTCCGTATTTTTGCCCAGGTCAAATCAAACTTCGTCATACGCGGCGTGAGCTGGATCGTCTTCCATTGCTCTACCTGGATGTGGACAACCAGGACGACGGCATTGAGTATGAATTCTGGGAAGGTTTACGCCAAACATGTTTAGTCCCTGAATTAAGTGCCTTTGACCAGACTTCCGAGCTGAAAGAAAAACTCGTGGAACTGCGAAACACAGCCCTTTTGATATTTGGTGTCAGCAATGCCTTATGGACGGTAATAGTACTGACTCTGGTGCAGCAAAAAGACCTGAAGGTCTTTGGAGTAGACGTTATTGGGCTTGCTTTTCTACTTATTTACGGGCTTTTAGTTGTTCTTCAGTTTCTGGCACTTTTAGCCCATCGTTTCAAAACTATCGTTCATATTTTGGCGCGTACACCCTGGACACTAAGCAAGAGAGTTGGAAACAATCGTGTTTCTTCCGTTGAATCTGGGAACAGTCATCCAACACACTAATGATAATTAGCAATTAAAATAGATATCAAACGGCCGAGGTCGAGAACTATTGACTTTTAATGAACACCTCTTTTATCTCAGAGTTTGAGATATCATGAATAAAATGACATTATTCCATTCAGGCCATTAAGGACTAGAAAAGCTGATGCAGAAGTCAACGAGATCTGTTAGCAAGTCCTGCAATTCAGTCAAGGTTGAATTTTTCTGTTCGCTGTCCTCCTTATACCCGTTATGTGTGCGGGGAAGGCATGGAATAACATAATTATTCATTGTTCTCCAGGGTTATTCCACGAATATCCCACTTGTGACTTGCTGTTGGAATAGGGGAAGATATCACCCGGTTAAACCCATTCAGACCAGGTGGAGGAAGACTGATATGATTGCCTCCCGCACAAATTATCGGTTTATCAAGGATTTGATCGAAAAAATGTTACCTTTGGCTAGGAAGTTTTAATTATATTGTAACAGATCAAAAGTTACAATTATATTGTAACAAATCAATCAGACAAGTCTTTAAGTGAGGCTTTCACACAGTAATGATTATAACGCTCAATTTGGAAAGGTTGCCGAAAAGCACTATCTTGACAGAATATTGAAAACTTTATCAAAAGATTTGTAAAAACTTCTGCATCAAGTCAGATCCACAGGAATGCCATCTCATCATATTCAAAACTCGGCTCTTTTCACATCTTTGACAGTTAACAAATTTTCATTCTTTATAATGGTGTTGGATATATCGAAACGTCGATTAACGTTTCTTTTAATTATATTCTATGAATTAGTAACTTTACTTCTTGGAAATGTTACAATTTGATGCACAGAAACAAATAAAAATGACTCCTAGCTTGCTATCACTGTACTGAGCTAGGTATCGAAGACGACAAAAAGAAAAAAAAACACACTAGACTTGTTGCACCAATCGCTCGACAGCTTTACTGTTCCCTGGTGGGGGAGGCTATTTTGCGAGTGTGCGAGCCCGAGCCTCGAGCCGCAAGCTGCGAGCCGAGGGTTTCTTTTACGAGCCCCGAAAGATTCCCGCCAAAATGTCCAAAAAGAAAAAAAAAAAAAAAAAAA